ATATATTGGAAGATGGCAGCAATAGTAAAACAAAATAAAAACGGGAAAAAAAGGACTTTCCAAAGGGAACCGGACAAGTGCAGGAAATAGAAAAGTGAGATGGGGCTTTGTTCTTACAGAGTAGGCTTTAGAGCTTTGAAATGATCAAAATATTCGGTATCCAAGCTTTCTTATATTTCCTTCTGTTCATACTAAAGGATAAAACTTCTAATACTGGAAATTAAACACAGCCGCATAGCATCATACAGCTAGCCAACAAAAATAGGAAAATAAATATCATTCCTTGTCAGGTAATTTCAGTCAGCTACTCCAGGTTAAAAAGGAAAATTAGATCAAGGAACATGAAAAATACTTACAAACCAAAAAAAATCTGAGAAGCAAATGTCACTGACTATATCAGATAGGTTCCAATCAGATCTTTGGTTAGCCTGGCCGTGATGCAACCATAAAGGTTGCTTGAATTAAAAGCCAACGGGCATTCCACTTGATAAATTTCAACAGCTGAAGCAAATACCTAATTTATAAATCAACTACATATCTGATAAACCTACCTATGTTTCTTGAGTGACTCACGAAATAGATGACGGACATGTTGTACTGCTTCCTCCTCTCCAAATTTGCGTGCCATTTTTGGCTTTTTATACTTTGAAAGAGGATTACACTGTACAACAATGACAGTGTCAGTGTAAGGAATCCACAAGTATTTCACATGTTTATTTTCACCAAGCCATTTCCTGCAAATGAAGGAAAGGAATTCATTAAACATGGAAAGTATCCTTGACAGCAAACTTTATAATGTATATTAAATATAGATATAGTTTACTTGAAAAAAAAAACAGGTAGTACTTGTGATTTTTTCTGATTTCATTCATATTAGATACAAATGTATGCTCCACAAGCTCATGCCGATCAACACACTGAATGGTGACTTCTGCAACCACTCCCAACCCACCTAAGCCACAGCGAGCGAGATAAAACAGTTCTGGGTCTTTCTCGGGAGAAACCTCTATTGTTCCTTTAGCAGGGGTCACTAATTTTATGCTGACAACCTGTTCATCAATAGGAGGTAGTCTTGCTCCAGTACCATGGGCACCAACCTGAAGGGTAAGTATAAAAATGAATAGAAATGTTTATGAAACGGTAAATGGAAATCTTAACTATCATAGAAAACTGAGGCAATAATGACAAGCAGTGTTTTTTCCATGAGAAAACATTTCTAAAACTAACATTTGAATAAATGGGCGATCAATATTATATGTATGAAGTGGAGAGCTTGAGCTGCCCCTGCAGTGAACACTGAAGATTTCAACTAATAATAGCAGCAACGAGGTAGGAGAAGAAGAGGAAAGATAAAGTAGCGGACTGCACACCGTTTCATTCATACTAACTGTAATTGTGCAAGTGTAGCTGAGTATGATTACATTTGAGAGTTGGTTTTAAACTAGAGGTTGTGAGAAGGTGGGAGGACATGAATGAAGCAATGAGGTGAAACCGTACTGGGAATGGCAGATTCAGTTTATTCTACTTTATAGCATTATCCTCCACACATTGAGAGGCTCGACAGGGATGATCAACTTGATGTTGAGATGTTTGTAACAGGAGCTGCGAGAAGAAATGTGGATATGACCCAAATCTTCAAGCATGAGTCAAGGGAAAGCG